CAAAGAAATTTAGATATTTTAACCCCAAATTCTAGATTTGCTTTACTGTAAAGATAGAGAAAATCGAATGGTAACACTGGAAATATACCTCTTGTGAAATTCATTTCACCCAACTCCCAGGCCTGTTGAAAATCAGCAGTTAAATCAAGCACCAAACAGTATAAGCTGATTTACTGTTCTCCCTTCAGAGATCGATGGCATATAGTTTATAGCTTAGAATAATGCCATTTCATAAAATGATGCAATCTACACCATTAATTCTTTTAAGTAAATGAACTGACCTCTAAGAACCCCTTACTTAAAAAGCTTCAGTCTAATTGTTTTCTCTCCTCCACCTCCCCCCCCCCATTTCCTTTTATTTCGGTAATTCTATCACCTCTGCTGTCCAAAGGTGTTCGCATGTGATTGACAATTCTCAAGGATCTAGTTTCTTTTAGATGGATCTTAAATAAATTTGAGCTTAAGTAAGTCTGCAGTGCAACTCAAGTCTCAGTACAAAATTCTAAAGAATCAAATAGCAGATTTATAAAGCCCATAAAAGCAAATTTCAGACATGGGGGGAGAAAGGGGGCCTTTCAGCAGTCTATACTGCCATCTAGCCAAGACCACGCCACTTAGCATTTTCTAAGACCCTGGTAAAAGCAAGTCTCAGAAACCAGCTTAACAGATCCTAAAGTTCAGCCAAAAGAATAGACAGCAGAACTTTGTCCACTCGGAGTCTACCAAGCTCCTGTGGACCAACAGCCAAGTTGTAATCATCACTCTTATCTTCATAATTCAATATCTGGCCCCCAAAAAAACACACTTTTTTTTTCACTCCACATATTACCTATACCAATATCATTTGCATCTTGTGATTTTTGAGGTCTTTGAATATTCTGTGACCTCATTGGAAAAATGGATAAAAGTTGTCTTAGGTAAGACATGACAGCTGAATTACAACCTCTAATATTGTAGCTATAACTCAAGAATTAAAATAATCTCAAACCATAGTCCTTAGATTTTGACAGAACGCACAGAGCATACACATCTGTGAAGAGAACTGATACACATGAAAAATAAAAAGAACCCTTTGCACTTACGGTAGAAGACATATTCAGTGTAGCTTGACCAGATCTTGTCATCTGTATATTGGTTGACAAAAGATGCTGTCACTGATGAGTTGCAGGCCACCATGTGGAATCCACACTCTGACAACATATCAAAAGCCCTTTCCAGATGCTTGAATTTGAGATAAAATCTGGAGGTGTATCTTTCCGGGGCTCGGTCAGGGTCTCTGCTTTCATTCAAAGTTTCTCCAAAGACTTCCTTTGCCAAGGAAATCCTTCCACAAACCAAAATCCGGGGAACTCTCCGAAACTTGGCATCTGCCTGCCCCTCTCTGCCCAAGGTGCAGGATCCCCTGTAACCCACAGTAATGAAACCCCACTTACGGTCAGCAGGGAGCAGAGAAGAGGGGGGGCAGATTCTCGTGTCACTTCCTTGGGAGGCATCTTCAAAGTCGCTGTGGCAGAATTCGTCTGGGCTTTGCTTGATTTCATCTGGGGTCAGGAGTTTGACTAAGTCTGGGAGCTGGAAGTACTCCGCTTCCCTTTTCAGTCTTCCTCTTTCTGGAAAGTGATCAGGCAGGACCACCTGCCTGTCCCTGAGATAGTCCAGAATATAACGGAACAAGAATCCATCTCTGTCGATGAAAAACCTTCCCTTGGAGTCCTTGGCCAGATCGTTAGCTGTGTCTCTCTTTGGGGAAAACATTTTCCACAGGAGGGAATGGGGGATGCTAGTTAATGTGGAATGACGAGTGAAATAAACTTGACCCCCAACATTCAGCTCTATGACCTCAGGGAAGGAGTTAGGAACTGCGGCCCCTTGTTCCCGAGGATAATAACGACTACAGTTTCCACTCAGAGCCATTGTCCCTTTCTTCTTCTGCTCCTTTTTTGATTTAAAGGTGCAATCCAGCGCAGTCACAGCCTTATTCCTGGCATCAACTTGTAAGGGAGGGGAAAGGATGCTAACTTGTTAAAAATGACCTCCTCTTACCCTAGCTTTCTCCCAAGAAAGCAAAATTCAGAAAAGTCCACAGGTGAAGTGATGCTGAAAGAGTAGTTTAAACCCTGGCTGGTGGTAAGCTATTACTTCATGGAATATAATCAACTCATCTACATCCGATCTTCCATCAAGCTCAGGAGGCAAGGCAGGCCAAGTCCCCAGTTACTCAGAGGTCTATCTGAAGGAAAAGAGAAAAAATTATTTCCTCAAACCCAGAATGAGTCAGAAAAAGAGAGACCTCTGGAGAGAGGAGAGAGAGGGAAAGGGAGGGAGGGGGGAGAGAGGGAGGGAGAGAAAGATTATTTTACATAAGCAGCCCTGGACCTACTGATTTTAGCTGTTCCTCAACTAAATCCTACGAGCTTCCCTTATGCCATTTTGCATCTATATATGTTTATCCCTAAGCCTCTGTCTCTGGCAATTAGTGTTATAAACAATCCTATATGAAATTCTGCATTAAAAAAAAAATGCAATTTTCAACTTCTTTTTTTCAGCTGGACAGGCAAAGCAGTGAGTCTTGGAGCTTACCTCAGTGAGTGCTGGAGACCCAGTTCTTATGAAGGAATAACCATTTGCAAAGCAATCAGAATCCACAGCCACACGAAAGTCTGGATCTTGTCAAATCCCATACAGGTAAAGGACAGAGGTATCAGCTGAAAAGTGCCAGAGAGATGTGCTCTTGGAAAATGATAATTATATATTTATTTGTGTTTATATAAATGTATATTTGTGTATATGTATGTATTCACTCCCAGTCTCAAGTTAAAACAAGTCACAAAAAAGTTAAACAGTGATGAGAGGAGGCTGGGTTGAAGAAGTAGAGCAGAGAAAAAATATTCAACCAAAGCTTCTCCAGGAAAAAAAAAAAAGAAGAAACCTTAAGAAAGGATCCTTAAAACAGAAGGGAGTTGCAAGAAGTACCGGGACTTAGAAGCTTTTCAGAAAGCCCGGAAGCAGAACGACAGACAGATGTGCCCTGCGGGGGTCCCAGGCAGCCACCCCACCTGCCGGCAAGGGCAAGCGGACTCCCATGTTCCCAGCCAGGTGGGAGCCGGAGGCCGCGGCAGCAGCGCGGAGACGCCGGCGGGGCTCGGGGCTCCGGCTTCTGTGGCGGCGGAGCTGGGTGGTTCCACAGTTCCCGGTGCGGTTCGGATGCTGTTGTTTCAGCAGTGCAGGCAAGAAACCATCCAGGGAAATGACTATTACATCATCTTAAAGGAATATGGCTTGGAGAAAGCGGAGGCAGCTCCTAGTCACGTCCTCCTCGGTGACAGGTTGCCAGGACTGCACGGGGACGCCACGCTCCGGCCCTGGGCATGCGACTCCCAGGCTCTCTGGGCTCCGGGCGGGGACGCAGCGCTGCGTAACCACTTCCCTTGCTGTCCTGTCCCGGAGTGTGGAGTTTCCAAAGGCCTTTTCTTTGCCCTTTCTTTCTTGTCTTTTACCTCCACCACCTTCCACCATCCCCCAGAGGTAACCCCCCACCCCAGTGGTGACATAAACACAAGTAATTTTTCATTTGGAAAATTTACAAACCAACCCTTTTCACACGCTCTGAATTTCTGCTGAAGGGCAAATTTCCCCTCCAAAGCGTGTTTAAAAACAAAACAAACAACACACCATGTGACCCCAATGTCCAAGCTACAAAGTGCTTTTTCAGTCCTTTGATTAGAACCCTATTCATGCAAATGTCTTCCTTTTTCTTTTCTTCATGCCTCTGCCACCATCACCCCAGCAAATATAGATGTGTCTGTATATATATATACACATATGTATACATATATACATTCATATAAAAATATATAAATCGATCTCTCTGGAATCAATGATGCTCTGTCAAAATGAACACATGAAGCACTGGCACCCATAGAAAGCCCACAGCTTGCTTCAGTAAGTCATTATCATAGCTTACCTGTAAGAAATTGCTACCTGCAACCTTTCTCTGGGGCTGTTTCCTTACTGAGCATCTCTTTGGAAGTGCCCCCAGCCCCTCCCAATTCATCCCAAGAGAACTCTGGTGGAAGACTCGCCTGCTAAGAGACATTTTGCTTCTGTCTGTCCCGGAGGGCTCCCTTAAGTGCATCATTAGAGTTTCAGGAAGGCATTTCCAGGGCAACCTAATCCACTAACAAAGTGCTTCCAGTTGAGCCTGCCAGTCAATAATGGCCCAGCCAACAGCTTACTGTAAGTCGGCCATTTCCCCTTTAAAACACCAGTGTCTTAGGGTTCACATTCTTGATAAGAATATAGTACTTTGTCAATGAATAATATCCAAAAAAAAATGTTATTTTTAAAAGAATGAAAAGAAAAAAGGAGGAGATCATATGAATTGGACACATTTTATGGAATCCATGTATTTATTGCCAACTCTAGCCCCAAGAATTAGATTGAAGATATGTTCAACAGCAAAATAAATTGACTTCTAGTTTAAGTCTTTTCTTTCAGTAAGCATCGGGCTACTGAATACTTTCAAAGTATTAGCTATCATTCCACCACCTGATTATTTTTGACTTTATTTCTTTAATGCATTAACCTGTTCTGGCTTCAAACATTAGGATTTTAATGTTGGACCAATCAAGGAAATGTCTGTTATGTGATGCACTTATATCGCCATCTAGTGCCCTAAACTGTCAGTGTAGGTCTCTATCTGGCGACTTAACTGAGTCAAAAAATTTGGATTTTTATTTTAAGTTTTTACAGTGATTTGAGCTTACTTGGCATGCACTATTCACCATGACAACAAAATAAACATTTCACTGCCACCAAGTCAAGGAAAAAAATAAATCTGAATCCAAGCCTATTAAGTGCTAGTTCGGTTGTAGTTAAAGTAAGCAAATGTTTTGTTTTATTTCTAAGATAGCAGGCCAGTACATCATTACAATAGCTTTGGAGCTCAGGGTATTAAAATATTCTGGGGGCAGTTTAGCAGGAAGTGAAGAAAGAGAGTAAGAAAAACCATTGTCTTTTAAAGCTAAAGGGGACTTGAGAAATGGAAACCAACCATCTCATCTCAGAGATACAGAAACCGAGGGCCAGAAAGGGACAGCAGTTCCACAGGGTCACAGCACTACAGAGTAGTAGGGCGGGCTTCAGACCACTGCCTATTCTGCATGATCGATGTGCTGTTTTTAACTATATCTTCTAGACTAAGGATAGAGAGGACACAAATAAAGAAAACAAGAAGAATTTCAAGATTACTAAACATTTTCTTAAAACCCAGCAAGTCATTTATTAAAGTTTTAATATTAAATTGCAAGGCTGAGAGATTTTACAATTTTTTAAGAAACAAGTATTCTAAATTTAAAAAATGAAGAGTTCTATTCATTGCTCTGGGTTTTATCGGTTAGGTTATTTTTGAGACAAATACTCTTTAATCTTTTTTTGAAAACGGACTGCTTGGAGAAACTAATAAAACCTGGGAAATGAATCCACAAGCATAGAAGTTTGTGTTCAATGTCACACATAAAAATTTGCATTCAATATCAGTGCAGAGTATTTTTAATAAACACTGTAAATATCCTATGTTTTGCACAATTATGCTGCATTGTATTATTTCGTACTAAAAGTTTTCCTTTATTATAGGAAACAGTTAAAACTAAACAACTGCTTTACTAGCTCTCTTTAGGCATATCTACTTTTTAATCTACATAAAGCTTCAAGAAACCATGATGGTCTGGGCCTCCCTCACCTTCTGAGAAAGAGGTCAAGTGTTTGGTTCAAGATTGTCTGGAAGCGCACTCATGTTGGGGCCCATAAACTTCAGGTTAACATCCCCTGATCTGTACTCTTCCTTCCCTTCATCTCAGGGGTGCAAACAAATGAGAGGTGAGATTAAAAAGACAAAAGGCTTGAGGGAAACAAAGCGATACACCATACAGAGAGATTTAAATAGTGCTAGAGTAAGCGAGTGTGTCTCAGGGAGGTTGTCAGTAAGCCGGTCTGTTTGGTGCTTTAACAAGAGGCGAGAAGCCAAGTCTAGGCTCTAAGTGTATTCCTGTCCTTCGTGTCAGCAGATAACACAGCTAGTGTTATTATTCTCTTCTGGCAGCTCTCCGCTGAAACACTGTGGGATGGCACACTCAGCCCGAAGGCTGAACAATACACGGCAACAGATTTCTCTTAGGGGAAGAGCAAGAAGGAATGTTCCATCCTGTTTTTTGTAATTTTCAAGCACATTGCACATTAAGATGTACATTAGGTAAATTGTGAAATGGATGAAATGTGCTTTAGCCACTGTTTGCTGTTCCCAACTTCCACACCCCCATGGCTGAATGTCGAAGGACAATTTTAATTTTGGAATAATGTGATCCCTTCCCACATCCTCACCCCTAACACACCCTTAAGTTTCCTTTCCCTCAAGTAGAGAGAGGTTTTATGCTGACCGTCTTTGCTATCAGGAGGGAATTGATCTTGTGAACTTACTCATACTAAGATGCTGGGCACTTACCGTATTATGCGCCCCAAGGACTCCTGCATTATCCCCATCATCGCAACAGCTACTTTCATGGAGGGCCAACTATCAAGTCCCCACCATAGTCATCACCCCTCCCCTAGTTCTGCCTGACTAGCTGTATGATTTTGGACAGGACACTGGATGTCTCCAAGCCAGGGTAATACACCAATAATGAAAACTGCCTCCAAGGTGTGTTGCGCAGATTAAATATCATGATGCATGTAAGTCCTCTGGCATGTTCTGTAGTTCTTGGTTAGTACTTAATAAATGCCATTAGTATTCACAACAGTGGTAAAGTAGCTGCATTCATTGTTGTGAGGCTACAGATGAGACATAAAGAAATTACAAAAGATTCCCAAAGACTGAAATTTTTACTTCTAAAATCTTTACTCTTCCCAATATGAAATTTCAGATAAAGACCATTGGGGGAATTTCAGGCTTTGCTGGGAGAGATAAGGTAGCAGAATGGGGAACTGAAAATAATCAGTATTCCAATGGTTAAAAATAAAAATGCCACTATCTTCTGCCAGACAGAAAAACTTGTTTTCCTGGTGCACTTTCATTTATTCCATTTGGATTTATTTATTGTCTATGTTATGTCCCCCACAGTGCTAGGTAGTTAAGACCCAAAGCTAAATTTGATACAATCTCTGAATTCAAACACTCACATGCAAACACACACTCAAATTCAAAATCATACCAATGGAAAAAAAGTGATT